AAAAAAAAAAAAAAAAAAAAAAAAAGGAAAAGAACTCAGAGAGCTTTCCAGCTCTTTCTACCATGTGAGGATGTGAGAAAATAGTAGTCTACAGCCCAGCAAAGGGCCCTCACCAGAACCCAGCTGTGCTGGCAGATCTTTCTCCCTCCTTCCTCCAAACCCTCTCTTTGCTTCCTAGCCTCTTGCTTAGCAAGCTGGACCATGTCCGTAGGCGAGAGGATGGGGCGTCTCACCCTGCCCCTCTAACAGACTTATCAAAGTTCTTCTTTGGAAAACATGCAGGGCTCTTGTTCACAGGGATCCAGCTGAGTGCAGTCTTCTCAGCCCCTTACATACAGACATCAGGTCATGCCAGGGAGCTCTGAGGCATGGTGCATAGAGCTCTAAGAACCAGGCTGCAAGGAGCACCTTCCCTTCTCTGGACCTCAGACTCCTCTTCAGTGAAGCAGGGATGACCTCCAAGTTCTCATCCGTCTTCCGTGCCTACTGTTCTCATTGGGGTTGGAACTGGTGGGGAAGGAGGCAGGCGCGACAGATGGGAACAGGCGGAGAGGGAGGAGGTGGAAAGAGGTGGGATCGGGAGGGTTATGGCTTTAGTAACTGATTTCTAGGCCGACTCAGCAGCATTCCAGGGACACCTGCTCATCCTCTGGGCTGGCTGGGGACTTTCAGTAACTGATTTCTCAACAGCAGTGAGGGATTCCCTCAACGCACACAGCCCCAGGCCACTGCCCCAGACTGTCAGTCTGTGAGGAAGAACTCTGACTTCCAGCACTCACTGGTAGTCAGGGTAAAAGTGAAAATACCCAAATTCTTGAGATATCAATCAGGCAAGATGCATCAGTGGTAAATAATTTACACAAAGACCGAGGGAAGGGTATCAGAAGCTTTTAGTGCTTTGGAAGCCTCAAAAGACTGGAAAAAAGTTGGTTGACAACTATGAAAGAAAAGCTATAAGGTTTTCTTTCATCTCTCTATTGCCTTTATTTTTCAGATGCATTAGGGAAATCAAAGAATGGCTCTAAAAAGAGAGATTGGACATAAAAAGGCCTTTTAGTGAGGGGCCTAGGTAAATGAAGGCTACTTTTATTTTATAATAAATATCCAGTGTATTTAAGGGAACAGCAAAGGGAGTTAGGGGAATAAATTAAAATGTTCTGCTAGTAAATCTGTCTTGGTGAGAGACAGCAGTGACTGAGGCAGCCAACATCCTTGGAACCTTGGGAAATTTGCTGACCTCACCAAACCTTATTTGCCAAATGTAGATGATAACAATGCCTGCTCCACTGTGTGATGAAAACTTCTAACGAGAAGTCATAGAACAGTCTGGGACATCTCCACTATGGAGTCCATAAGTTCCAGCGTTCTTACCTATTGTTAGTTGAGCTACACTGGTCCTAGTACAAAACCCCCAGTCCTTCCTCTACATCCTTCTAATTGAATGTAAAACAGTGATAAGAATCCTACTTCTGTCAAGACTCACTGGGCTGATGTCTATAAGTTCATAGCAGCCAACTTTTCATGGTACTGAGGGCAAATTCATTTTGGTGTAATCAAAATTCATTTTCAGCAGCCCACATTTTGACATGATTTAAGCTCTCTGAGAAAGATATTTCTAGCAAAACATAGATGCAGTATGAATGTCAGCTTCAGACATGCCTGAATTTGAACTTTCCCTATGCCTCAGAACAACCATACTACAGCAAGTTTCCTAATTTGTCCAAGATCCTGAAAAACAGGGATAATATTGATTCACAGAGTTTTTGTGCAGAGGGCCTGGACCAATGGAAAGGCTCGACATCCAGTCTTCTAGCAGATTCCTTTCTAACTCCTCCAAAGTCTCTCCCTCACCCCTCCCTTTTGCGTCATGAGGCCAACAATTCCCTGGCAACAGGAAGTAGCTCTGAGGAGTTAGAAACAGTGTTAGTGTAGAGTATTGGACTGAAGGAAATTTCAAAATCAATTTTTTGTTTTGTTTTGTTTTTTGAGACAGGGTCTCTCTATGTAGTTGAGACTGACCTGGAACTCACTATGTAGTCTAGGCTGGTCTCTAACTCGTAGCAATCCTCCTGCCTCAGCCTCCCAAGTGCTGGGATTATAGGTGTGAGCCACCAAGCCCAGGCTCAAAATCAATTTTAACGGATACCTAAAACTACGTATTTGTGGAGAACCTTGAGATTTTTTCAGTACAAGTATATACATGGTGTAATGTTTAAATAGGGCTAAGCATATCTATATTTGCCTAGAGACTTTTATTTGGTTCTGCATTTACCACTTACTGGCTGTGACCTGGCAAATGTCGCATATCCTTTCTGAGCTTTAGGGACATGTGGAGACAAAATAATCAACTTCACAGGTTTGCGCTAAGTGTGAAAAGAGACGACTGATGAAATGCATGGTAAATCACTGTGCATTATAAGACCATCGGGGGTATCATGCTGTTGTCCTCACAGCCTTGCATCCTTTACCTCAAGATCTTTGGCTGCTACATACATTTCATATATTGATATGAGCCACCCTCTATCACCTTATTTCATGTGGGATTTTCCACAGTTATTGGAAAATGATGGCTGGATCTTGTTGAATTAATCTTTCTCTTAGTTTGGAAGAGAGAGAAATGGACCCTAATCTCTCCAGTTTGGGTGCTTAGCTAAGAATCTTACCTCTTGGCTTCCGGGGAAAACATTTGCTGTGTGATTATTTCATGTATTTGAAAATCTAAAGAGCTTCCTGTTCTCAGTGTGAGTAGCAAGGAGGACTTTAGGAGCTGAAGCTTCGCTCATCCCCGACACTCCCAGGCCTCCTGACAAACTGAAGCCAGAGCAAAGGCCTCTGAAGTCACAAGGAACCGATGAAAAGTTGTGCTCAAACCTCTGGGGAGAATCTCCGGCAGGGGTTTGTGGAAATGTAGGGAAGAGCTGGGTTTCTGGAAAGGCTTGGACCATTCTCCCCGGGCCTTTCAAAAGGACTCTGGCCAAGTATTGAGATGATACGGTTTCCACTAAAGAAATGGCAAGAGGGAGGGGAGTCAGAGGAACTGAAAGAGTCAAGGAAAAGTGGTAACAGGTTTGCTCATTTGCAGATACTGAAGGGCCCCGGCAGAAACTCCTTGTTCTAGTGCTTTTGGGACCCAGAGCCTCATTTGGCCCAATTCAGAGGCACCACTTACATGTGTCCCGTGAGCTTCTCCAGGGGGCACCATTCACAAAGCATACAATGTAAACGATGCTCCTAGTTTTTATGCAATAGGATTTGGACCCAGTCCTACAAGAGCCAAACTTCTAGTCCCCAACAAAGCTTACATTCTTGCAGTAGTTTTCTCCTTACAATGTGCCAGTTTCTACTGTTAAACAAACCAATGCACGAATCAAACGTATTAAAGCCCAAGCCACAATTTCCAGAAGGATATTACATGATATTACGTTTCCAGATGTGCACCGGTCAAAATTCTTGTTTACAGTGGAGGATGTATTTCTGAGAAGAACAGTTATGGTTGAAAATGTATTAAAAGTCATTACTTTTCTTCTTTCCCATTTAATTGGGGCATAATAATTCTCAGGATCTGTTCCACCCAAAGAGGGTTAGGAAAATTCTAAAAGAAAGTAAACCGGTACTTTACTTTTAGGTAAATGCCGAAGTCATCCCTCTGCCTCAGGGTCTCCAGATAAAACACAGCAGCAGAGTAGTTCAGGCAGTACATCTGGTGGCTCTGACAGAGACTTCCACGGAAATACTGCAGAGAAGACTGGAGTTAGGGGAGCACTGCACCCGGACACACTTCCTCTTTTTCTGCACTTTTATCATTGACTAAAAGAGGGGGAAATGGAGGAGCCACCGTGACAGTGCAGGACCTATGGAGGTGTGGATATATAAACAGGTCATCTCCACAATAGACCGTCTTCTAAAGAAATACAGTGTTCTCACGATAAAGTTAACACCTCAGTGAACAGTGTTTCCCCCCCATACTTCAGGGAAATTCCATTTAGGATGCTTTAATTCATCTTTTTCTTCTCTGCTATCTCTGACTCCCTTGACTCAGTTGATGTTAAGCTTGTGTTAGCATTAAGTGATTGAAGTAACAACATTTAACTTTTCGTCAAATATTTTCAAAAATGCCCTCAGATTTGATTGTCCTGTCTTCTGAAAAACATAGAAATTTTGAACGTCTCTGTGAAGTGTTCTGTATTTCGTGGCACGTATTTTTCAGTAGTCTTACCCAGTCTAGCACTCATTTTCTCTTTTCTCCAGCCTCCTTATTTAATAATGCCTCCAGCTTGCCAAAATGACCACACTTGTAAGCCACCTCACATTCCTTTTAGAATAAGGCTAATTGTCAACTTTTCTACATATATCAATGTGGTGAATAATCAAACAGCACACTGTACAATGTGCCGCCGATTCAGTTAAACGTGTTTTGGGGGAATGATGGTCATGCTGTTCTCTTCAGCAGTACTTCTGGCTCATTACCGGCACACGCTTTCTTTAGGATCCCACAGCGTCTGCCATGTTACTAAGCCCCGTGCCCTCGATGGATTTATTGATCCGTCGAATGTCATGAGTCCCGTGAAGGGATTTCCAGTTGTACCACAATTAGGTGGAGTCAGGGGAGGAGGACACACTTACTGGAAATGCTAGAGTGACTGTTAGTGGAGGAAGCAGGCCCAACCTGAGAGGCCACGAAAGGAGAGCACACTAAAGAAATCAGATATAACACGAACCAAGAAAAATGCTTTGTCATTGGACCTCTGGGAACAGAATGCTATGGAGAGCAACACGGGGTCTCTGGCTTCTGCAAGAAGTAATTTTAAAGAGATGATAGGAGTTTATTTTAGAAGGTGTGTGTGGATGGGTGGGCAGAGAAGAGGACTTGAAGATGAAAAGTGCTTCCCTCTAGACGCCGCAGTGCCGGAGAAATGCCCTTCCTAGGACACCGCTATGGAGCGGCCACGGCAGAGTCGTTAATGGTCTGGCCTAGAAATCAGTTCCTACACCCACTGGCTGAGAACTGCAGCCGCTTTATCTGAGCTCTCTGGACCTCGGCTTCATTTTCTGCGACTCCCACGCATGGCTCACTTGTGAGCACAGGATGGCGTATTCTGTAAGCTGCTGAGCTTCAGCAACCTGTGCTGGACTGGTCACCACGCCTGTGTTTCCCCTTCCAGGGGAGGGTTCCATGCCCCTCTCCTCTGAAGGGAAGCTTGGCTGGTAGCTTCCTTTAGCCCCTGAAACGGGACCAGCCCTTCTGCAGAATTGCCCTTAAGGTTCTGCTTCTGCTGTGCTTCACGTGTTGGAGACCTTGCTTTGCAGTCTGGATGCTAGGCTTCCCCTGTACTCTACTAAGCGCTGAATTTAAATAATTTTCTGGCTTCTATGGAATCGAGAAATCCTGAGATTTGTTTTTTTTTTTTTTGGTTTTTTGAGACAGGCTCTCACTATATAGTTGAGACTGACCTGGAACTCACTATGTAGTCCAGGCTGGTCTCGAACTCACAGCGATCCTCCTGCTTCAGCCTC